CCCCCCGGCCAGCTTTCCCCCAGTTTATGTGCTGAGCATGACGTCACATGGTATGGAATGTCCCTTTGGCCAGTTGGGGTCAGCTGTCCTGGCTGTGCCCCCTCCCAGCTTCTTGTGCACCTCCAGCCTTCTCAGTCAGTAGAGCATGGGAAGCTGAAAAGTCCTTGGCTAGTGTAAGCACTGCTTAGCAACAACTAAAACATCAGTGTGTTATCAACATTATTCTCATCCTAAACCCAAAACACAGCACTGTACCAGCTACTAGGAAGAAAATGAACTCTATCCCAGGTGAAACCAGGACACCCAACAAAAAACAACCAGAATAAAACCCCAAAGAAAATACCAGAGGCCAAAAGGAACATGCTAATTACTAGATTGCCTTCCAGCACTAGGTGGGCTCCTCATTTTAAGTGCAGCATAACTTACTTCTCTAGAAATTTTCAAAGGATTAAAGGAGGAGTCTTTGTCAGTCTTTGTCAGCTAAAGCTAATCAAGATTTGATCATTCAGGCAAATATTTATGCTCACCTTTATAACTTTTCTTAAATTATTTGGTTATCTGAATGCAGTGATGGGAATGAAACGGTATGCTGCCAAACAAGGCATGTTCATCAGTTCATGTATTTACCATATACGAAATATTATTAGGCTATCACTTTGGAACTGGCTGATTGACCAAACTCCCATATTTTTCCTTGAGTATAAAGCTACTTCGTAAAGTGACTATTTATGAATTAAGAAGTCATCAAGATGAACTACGACATACACAAGCATCTGCCAAAATAACCATTTACCATTTGCAACTACAGGTGCAGTTACCAAATGAAGAGTCAGAAGCCTGCCCTTGTTGGAATATGATCACACATGTGCTTTACTTGGAACAGAGACCAGTGCTTGGTAAGTCCACAAAGCTGTTTGTGTCAACTTCAAGGGCTATTTAAGCTCTACAAAATATTTCCAATCTTATGAGAACCACATTTCAGGCTTCTGAAGCAACAGATCTGGCTTAAACAAAGTTGAAAAACGTGATTAAATTATTACAGGAATGACTATGCATTCTTTATTCAATACATGACCATCTATAATGGAAAAGGCTGTGCAACTTAACTGTTTCCAATTTAATCAAATTGTAATTCAAGTCACACACAAGGGGAGAAAAAAAAAATTAAGTCTAATGACTAATCTAAAAGATTAATCTTTAGTGTCTCTACCTAGTACACCCTGAAAGTTGACTGAAATATATGTTAAGTTATACAGTAAGCAAAAAAATCCCAAGATTATAGGCCAGTAATTCTCAAAAGGAACTCTCAAGGACTTCATATGCAGCCACTGCAGGAAAACTTCTTAGTGAGCCTCATCTTGAAATTAGCAGTCAGAAGTGCAACCACCTTTAATGTTATTTAAGAAGATGATCTTTCCTGAGTTCAAAAGCCACTATTTTCATGTATGACTTATATAGCAGCAATCCATCAGCACAAGGCATTAGGATAATTCAAACAAAATGAGAATACGATCAAATAAGATGCAACAAAAAAACCCCAACATTACAATAAAACTGGATATTGTTGTATATCACCATGATCTTTAAAACATCAAAAGCATCTAATTAAGGATAACAGTAGGCCTTTCAAATGTTTGTGCTCAGTGAAAAAGGACCATTCATTTTTGAGTACAAGGATCCAAATTATATTTCCTAATCAGTTTGTGAAGTTTTAGGCATGTAAACTGAAGCCTAAGATCTACAAAGTTTGCAGGACCATGAGGTGGGGAGCACTACCTTCACAAATAGTCAGTGGAAAATTCTCAGTGCTACAAAACTTGAAAGGAACAGATCTGAATGAAGATGTCACATGAAGTTAAAACAACAGGCAATGCAGAAGAGACAAATAATGCTCTATTTGAACTAACAAGAAGTACCTTGAAAAAATCTAGTATAATGCAAACAGAAAATGCTTCTGGAGGGAAGGGAGAAGTGTTGTTTAATACTTTCAATTACAGCACAATTCTCTGGATGAAGCTTTTTTTTCCCCCCTCCCTACTTCACCCCCCAAAAAAGTTCATTTAATGCCAAAAGGAGACATCTTTACTACTTCATTATTCGCCACGTTATCATCTTTAACTTAGAGTTACTGGAACATAAGTAATTGAAGTGAATACTGCCAAACTATAAGTTATATTTTGCAATGCATTGTTCCTGCTTTTATTTCTTCATTATTCAAAGCTGAAAGAAGTCAAGAGCAGCTCTGACAGAGAAACCCAGTTACATCAACAACCAAAGTAAACATTTAGCTTGTCATCCCTTTTCTGAGTTGTTTACAATCCAAGAAACAAAAGTTACAACTCCTCACCCAAGAAAGTAGGTTTTATATGAAGTTTCTGATCATTAACCAATAAAATCAGTTGCAAAGTTCCATTTTGAATTGATTTCACTGAACAACTCCAAATGGAAATCCCACCGACAACTCTTCATTCACAAGCAGCATTTGCAACATAAGGTCATAAATTAAGCAATGAAAAAAGGAAGCTCAGCAACACGTTTTGGACAGGAGTGGTAGGCTTTTTAGGTTCACACAGACTCTTCTAGTAGCTTTGGTCCAGTTTTTAACTTATCTTAACTTCTAATTTCTGATATGCACAATGTTGCAGTACCTGAAAGCAAGAGTGCACACTAGAGAAAAAAAAAGGTTTTCTGAAAAACTGCCCGTCTGAGACAATCCCTAAAGGTTTCCTAGTACTAACTCTACGTAGTATCTGAGGGGTTTTTATTTATTTGTTGCTGGATTTTTAATTTGTAACTTTATGGCCTTTAGTAATAGAAATGGACTGAAGAGAAAGACAGAGAAAAGACAGTGGATGTACTCCTAGGATACTACTCAGACCTGTTTTAAGATGGAATCAGTAATACCCAAAAATACCTATGGATCTCCTTCCCTCTTCATAAACGAAGCTTTGAAGAACAGTATTTCCATTATAGGCATCTATCTTTGGCATGAATTGCCTGTGTTTCCCCTAGAAATATCTTAAGATGGCCTATCAATTTCCAAACGCATTTAATGGGCAGAGGTCTTGAGAGATGAGACTCCTACCAGCTCAGTCACCTGGCGGAGAGGGCACAGTTTGTGCCGCAGCTCTAAGAAAGCTAAGGAGAAGATAGAACCACAAACTTCACTGGTAGGAGTTTTATATATGAGTCATCATGGAGGAAAGTAATAGAGCGAGAGAAAGAGATGCAACCATGTAGGAAATCAGGCCTTATTACATCCCATGCAATATTTTCTTCCTTCTCTCCAAAGCCTGCCCATAAACTCTCTAAACATACATGAAAAAATATTACAAGAAAGGCAGCTTCTGTCAACAGTACTTAATCTAGTAACAAAACTTCTGCTAGAATACATAAACATGGGCTTTGACTTACAGGGTAGAACTTTAGCACTAGATTAACACACCCTTAATGTAGATATCTACCTGAAAGCAAACTCCTATTACAGGATACAAAGATCTAGGCAACAGTAGATGGACTGATTAGTGAATAACCATGGGACCAGCCACTAGGTTTCTACCTCAGGATGAGACAAATCATCCCCTATAGCAAAGCCTATAATGAGAACTTAGACATACACTTGCACTTACAAACCAACACATATATTTAGGTATCTTACTACTGATCTGGACTCCACCTACTGTCATTGTTTCATATAAGAATATTTGGAAACAAAGTTATGCACAAGGAGCAGATTACTTCTGCCATATGCCTAAGTCTCTTCATATTCATCTTTGGTTCAATTAACTCCAAAGCAAAATGCTGATAGTAAAACTAAGTTTCCTTTGTACACATTGTGCTTAATTATTTATGCAACTGTCTTGATAGCATATTAACTGCTCCATCCTACACTATTACTTGGACTTGACATTTTATTTGAAAGATACCTTGGGAATAACAAGATTCGTGATCTGCATCCAAAATAATGTTTAATGAAAGAATTGTCACAAACTCAGTCTAGCACCACATAACGTAACCAGAGTAGGTCGATTGAGATTTGGCCTACAAACTATCCAATCACAAGACAGGACAAACAGGTTGGTGTACCTGATCTGAAGAATGATGCTGAAGCAAGAGATGCAATGGTAATCACAAGGGCAAAGATAAGTTGCATAAAACAGTGGTGGAACCAAAGTAAAGGAGAAAGGACCATTGAAGCAGATTTGACATATTAGATTCCACAAAGCCATAAGAAATACATCCCATGGTGCCCACAGCCAGGGTTACCGTGAGGCCACTCTCTATCCTTTTTGATATGTCACCATGACTGGCGGAAGTGCCTGAAAACTGCAAAAAGGCAACCATCATGCACATGT